TGCCTTCAGTGAGACCATGGCAAGGATATAGACATAGGGAGTGTTGAAAAATTGGGGCCAATAATCCAACCCACCACAGTGGCTTAACACAATAAATTAACTTTCTCCTTCATTTCACAGTTCAGTGTAGTCAGCAAGGAAGCTCTGCTCTACCTGGTCATTCTGCAACGCAGATTCCTTCTACTGCTTGGCTCCCCCCATCTCTTTCGGCTTCCTAATTCTCTGCATTCAGCTGGCAGATGTGGAGAGATGGAGTGTCTAGATCACTGTAGTCAGCAGAATAATGGCCCCTAAAGATGTCCACATTCTAATCTCTGGAATCTGTGATTGTTAACTTTATTGCAAAACAGACTTTGCAGATGTGATTGAATTAAGGGTCTTTATTTATCTATTTATTTATTTTAAAGACGGGGTTTCACCATGTTGGTCAGGCTGGTCTTGAACTCCCGACCTCAGGCAATCCACCCGCCTTGGCCTCCAAAGTGTTTGGATTACAGGCGTGAGCCACCATGCCCGGCCAAATTAAGGGTCTTAAAATGGGGAGATTATCCTGGATTATCTGGATGGGCCCTAAATATAATGACCTTATAAAAGCGAGGCAAGAAAGTCAAGGAGAAAGAAGTAGGAGATATGAATATTGGAAACACTGGAGCGATGCGAGGAAGGAGTCACAAGCCAAGGAAGGCAGAAGACCTCCAGAAGCCAGAAAAAGTGAGGATTCTTCACTAGAGCTTCCGAAGGAAGGAACCCTGCCAACAACACTCTGACTTAAGCCCCGTGAAGCTCATTTCATACTTCTGGCCTCCAGAAGTAAGAGAATATATTTATGTTGTGTTAAGTAACTAAGGTTATGGTAAATTGCTATGGATGTGCACATATCGTCTTCAATCATGTTCCATCGAACTTAGGCACACAGCTACTCCTATCTGTACAGGAGCCAGGGAATATAGTCTCTTTATGTGGCCAGGAAAAGAAAGAAAGAGGGTTGGGGCCAGTTGCCCCAACATCCCTTCATGGAGGCTTCCAGACCATGAATCCCACCAGCCAGACTGACCATCCTTCAGCTTCTCAAGAACACCACACTCCTGTCTTGTACCACATCTTTTTTTTTTTTTTCCAAGACAGAGTCTCACTCTGTTGCCAGGCGCCAGGCTGGAGTGCAGCGGTGAGATCTTGGCTCACTGCATCTTGCCTCCTGGGTTCAAGCAATTCCCTGCCTCAGCCTCCCAAGTAGCTGGGACTACTAATTAGTACAGGCACGCGTCACCTAATTTTTGTATTTTAGTAGAGACGGGGTTTCACCATGTTGGCCTGGATGGTCTGGATCCTTGACCCCGTGATCCACCTGCCTTGGCCTCCCAAAGTGCTGGGATTATAGGCGTGAGCCACTGCGCCCAGCCCCTCAAACCACACCTTTATAGCTACTGCAGTCTCGGCCTTTTAATGAGTTCTATGGCAGGTGATGGTGGTTTTCACTGGAATTTCTGAAAGCCTCCCATACCATGTTTACACCATTAGATTAAATGCAATGGGGGAAAGAGATTTTTTTTTCTTTTTTGGAGACGGAGTCTCACTCTATTACCCAGGCTGGAGTGCAGTGGTGCAATCTCGGCTCACTGCAACCTTTGCCTCCTAGATTCAAGTGATTCTCCTGCCTCAGCCTCCCAGGTAGCTGGGACTACAGGCATGTGCCACAATACCTGGCTAATTTTTGTATTTTTTGTAGAGACAGGGTTTTACCATGTTGGCCAGGCTGATCTCAAACTCCTGGCTTCAAGTGGTCCACCCACCTTGGCCTCCCAAAGTGCTGGGATTACAGGCGTGAGCCACCAGGCCCAGCAGAGAGATTTTTAACAATTTAGAATTTATTGCATGCTGCCAGTATGCTTTTAAAATGAGAATACACATGTTCTATTTTACTGTCCTTTTTAGAAACTGTAAGGCAAAGGAAATTGTGTAGATAGCAAGGTCAGAGAATTGACCAAAAAATGTGGCTGTAGAATATAAAAGAGTAAGTAATTCAATACATTTTCTGAATCATAAAGGAGAAAGAAACCTTAGGAGGTCATTTGGCTGAACTCTCTGCTTCTGAAAGCTCTAGACTGAAATCAACCCAGATGCAGTTGGTGAGGGGAGCTGTTGGGAAGCGGGGAGAGGAGACAAGAAGGCCAGTAAGTGTGATCTATTCTAAGATCTCTAGGCATGGAGATGAGAAAAGACCTTTTCAAAGTTTTGTTCCAGTCCTCAGAAGATCTCTGCATAGCTGAAATACTCAATGCTAATATTGGCTAGGAGCTTTACATATGGAAGACCTTCCAGCATCCAACTCAGCTATCTTCTAATTTTAAGGAAGAGCTGCGGGTTGGGAAACTTCTGGGCCTCAGTCACATTCCAGGGAAAGCTAAAGTTCAAGATCTCTCCCTACATGACTGGGCTGAAATGCCAGATTAGAAAAGGGGCAGCCTGGCCGGGTGTAGTGGCTCATGCTTGTAATCCAAGCACTTTGGAGGCCAAGGCGGGTGGATCACCTGAGGTCAGGAGTTCAAGACCAGCCTGACCAACATGGTGAAACCCCATCTTTATTTAAAAAAAAAAAGAAAGAAAAAGAAAAGGGGCAGCCCTCCAAACAAGTCATCTCTGCGTTCTAAAATGGGAAACAGGGCAAGAACCTCCCCTTACCATCAGCAGTTGCTTCAGAGTCTTTGATGCCCCAATTCCCTTCAAACCCCCTGTGCCTGTCCATTCCCTCCTCCTATCTCTCTCACTTCACCCTTTTCTCCTCACCTAACCTTGTCTCCTCCTCTTTTCTAGACTCAGGGCACGGTCTTAGGAGCAGGCAGGAATATCTTGTTTACTATCGTCAGAGCTTGATATTCTAACTAGACTACACAAATGTCTTTCAAAAAAGGGCGAGTAACTGCTCTCTTTGTCATGGGGCAGTAAATCTCTAGGGTTTCAGTCCAGAGATAGGAAGCTAGCGAACAAAATTTGAAGAAGCGTTTAAATTCATTGTTTTAATATTTACAAAAACAAGTCCTGTTTCACTAACGAGTGGCAAATCCAGGACTCAAATGCAGTTTGTCTGACTTAAGTCTTTGCACTTGAAGAAAATCATTCTTTAACTCTTCTGCTCAAGGTCAGTCTTGCTTTATATTCCCCAGCTTTTTACTTCTTTCGTTGTTGTTATTGAGATAGGATCTCGCTCCGTTGCTCAGGCTGGAGTGCAGTGGGGCGATCTCAGCTCACTACAATCTCTGCCTCCCAGGTTCAAGCGATTCTCCCACCCGCTCAGCCTCCCAAGTAGCTGGGACCACAGGTGCGCGCAACCCCCATCTAATTTTTTGTATTTTTTGTAGAGACAGGGACCATGTTGCCCAGACTGATCTGAAATTCCTGGTCTCAAGCAGTCTACCCACTTTGGTCTCCCAAAGTGCCGGAATTATAGGCACGAGCCGGTGAACCAAGCCAAATCTCTTTTACAAAAAAAAAAAAAAAAAACTACTGTTGGGGCCGGGCGTAGTGGCTCACGGCTGTAATCCAAGCACTTTGGAGGCCAAAGCGGGCAGATCACCTGAGGTCGGGAGTTCAAGACCAGCCTGACCAACATGGTGAAACCCCATCTTTATATATATATATATATATATATATATATATATATATATATATATATATATAAACTACTGTTGGATTCCATTAAGGACTTACTATGCTACTGCTATGGTGGATTTATTCCTGCCCTTAAGGAGATTTAAATTCTTTGGGATTTCTGCTCACCCTGATTTCCTGCAATATCCCCACCTTCAACTTTGAATGTTTTTTTCTTTGTAAATGAACCTCCTTGAATCAGCTTAATTTAAGCATCATCTGTTTCCTATTAAGCCTTGATTGATAGAAAGGATCTGCTTGAACTCATGTGGCAGGTGACTAGCTGAGGCATGTGCCCCTTCTAGAGTTCAGTTATTGCTGCCCAGAGGAGGGGTTACATTTCCCACACCCGCTGCCTCAGGATGGGCCACAGGACTAATCGGGGCTCAAGTGATGTTCCTGCTGTCAGGTTTTGGCCCACAAGACTGTCCATTTGATCCTGGTGCTCTCTCTGCCCTCACTCAACAGCATCTGCACATCTAGGGCAAGCATTCTGAATCCTTTTGTGCTGTAGATGCCTGAATCCCTTCTCAGAATAATGCTTGTTTAAAAATTAGCTTTTTAGGCCAGGTGTGGTAGCTCACGCCTGTAATACTCACTCTTTGGCAGGTCGAGGCGGGCGGATCACTTGAGGCCAGGAGTTCGAGACCAGCCTGGCCAACATGGTGAAACCTGTCTCTACTAAAAATACAAAAATTAACCAGATGTGGTGGCACACACGTCTAATCCCAGCTACTTGGGAGGCTGAGGCAGGAGAATCACTTGAACCCAGGAGGCAGAGGTTGCAGTGAGGTGAGATCGCACCACTGCCCTCCAGCCTAGGTGACAGAGCGGGACCCTGTCTAAAAAAATGAAATAAATAAATAAAAATAAGCTTTTTGTTTTGCAATAATTTTAGATTTACAGACAAGTTGCAAAGATAGTAAGTACAGTTCCCGCATGCTCCTTACTCAGTTTCAGTTTCTCTAAAATGGTCATCCTATGTTACTATGGTACGTTTGCCAAATTAAGAGACTAGCATTGGTACATTATTATTAACTAGCCTCCAGACTGCCACTAGCTTTTCCACCAATGTCCTTTTTCTGTTCCGGGGTCTAGTCCAAGAAACCACGTTGTATTTAGTTGTCCCCTCTGGTCTGTAGTGTTGTCTCAATCTTCCCTTTTCTTTCGTGACTTTGACAGTTTTGAGAAGTATTGATCAGGTATTTTGCAGGATTCCAGAGAAATGATTAAATGCATAAAATTGAGCCATAAAAGAAGAAAACCATATGAAATATAGGTATTAACATATTTGTAGAGACAAGGTATCACATTAACATGGCATTAATGTTTTGTTTTGTTTTGTTTTAAATCAGTCTCTGTAGAGACTGTCAAAAATTGCCAGTGCCAACTGTATTGCAAGTCGTCATGGCGACGTATTGGGAAAAGCTTTCAATTAGCAATAATTGCGCCTCGGATAAACCTCATTCGCTACGATACTGCCACTACGCAAAGCTCATGGTGTTAATGTTAATGTGAGACCCTGTCCGTTTGATCCTGGTGCTCTCTGTGCCCTCACTCAACAGCATCTGCAGCTCTAGGGCAAGCATTCTGAATCCTTTTCCACCAATGTTCTTTTTCTGTTTGGGATCTAGTCCAAGAAACCACACTGTATTTAGTTGTCTCCTCTGGTCTGTGGTAGTGGCTCAGTCTTCCCTTTTTTCATGACTTTGACAGTTTTGAGGAGAATCGAAATCCTCACAATTTTAAAAGGCCAGGCACAGTGGCTCACACCTGTAATCCCATACTTTGGGAGGCCTAGGAGGGAGGATTGATTGAGCCCAGGAAATAGAGACCAATCTGAGCAACACAGGGAGACCCATCTCTACAAAAAATTTTAAAATTAGGCTGAACATGGTGGCTCATACCTGTAATCCCAGCACTTTGAGAGTCCAAGGTGGGTGGATCATGAGGTCAAAAGTTGGTGACCAGCCTGACCAACATGGTGAAACCCCATCTCTACTAAAAATACAAAAATCAACTGGGCATGGTGGCACATGCTTGTAGTCCCAGCTACTCAGGAGGCTGAGGCATGAGAATCGTTTGAACCTGGGATGCGGAAGTTGCAGTGAGTTGAGATCATGCCCCTGCACTCCAGCCTGGGCCGTACAGTGAGACTCTGTCTCAAAAAAAAAAAAAAAAAATTAGCTGAGCATGGTGGCATGTGCCTGTGGTCTCCACTACTGGGCAGGCTGAGGTAGGAAAATCACTTGAGCCTGGGAGGTGGAGACGGCTGTGAGTTGTGATCTCGCCACTGCCTTCCAGCCTGGGTGACAGAGCGAGACTCTGTCTCAAAACAAAAACAAAAGCAAACACAAACAAAAATATAGAATAGGCTGGGCATGATGGCTCACACCTGTAATCCCAGCACTTTGGGAGGCCAAGGCAGGTAGATCACTTGAGCCCAGGAGTTCGAAACCAGCCTGGCCAACATGGTGAAACCCCATCCCTATTAAAAATACAAAAATAGAAAATTAGCCAGGGTTGGTGGTGTGCACCTATAGTCCCAGCTACTAGGGAGGCTGAGGCAGGAGAATCACTTGAATCCAGGAGGCAGAGGTTGCAATAAGCCAAGATCATATCACAGCACTCCAACCTAGGTGGCAGACTGAGACTCTGTCTCTTAAAAAATGTATACATATATACACTATATATATTATACATATATATAATGTATATATATACACATTATATATAATGTGTATATATATATAATATGTATATATATAAATGTTTTTAAATTAAAAACGCCAGGTGTGGTGGTGCACACCTGTAGTCCCAGCTACTTAGAGGGCTAAGGAGGCAGGATCACTTGAGCCTGGGAGTTCAAGACCAGCCCCAGTAACACAGTGAGACCCAGTCTCTACAAAAAGTAAGAAAAGTACACTGGCATGCCGGCGCACACCTGTAGTTCCAGCTACTTGGGAGACTGAGGTGGGAAATTGCTTGAGCCCAGGGATCAAGGCAACAGTGAGCCATGATCATGTCACTGCATCCCAGCATGGATGACAGAGCGAGCCCCTGTTTCAAAATTGAATTAAATGGGCTGGGCATGGTGGCTTACTCCTGTAATCCCAGCACTTTGGGAGGCTGAAGCGGGTGGATCACCAGAGGTCAGGAGTTTTGAGACTAGCCTGACCAACATGGTGACACCCTGTCTCTACTAAAAATACAAAAAAATTAGCCAGGCATGGTGGTACATGCCGGTAACCCTAGCTACTCAAGAGGCTGAGGCAGGAGAATCACTTGAACCCAGGAAGCAGAGATTGCAATGAGCTAAGATCACACTATTGCACTCTAGCCTGGGCAACAAGAGCAAAACTCTTGTCTCAAAAAAAAAAAAAAAAAAAAAAAAAGGAATAAAATAAAATAGTTTAAAAGTATGATACAATCGTTCGTATTTTTTTTGTTCTTTCTTTGTTTTTGAGATGGAGTCTTGCTCTGTTGCCCAGGCGAGAGTGCAGTGGCACCATCTCATCTCACTGCAACTTCTGCCTCCTGGGTTCAAGTGATTCTCCTGCCTCAGCCTTCTGAGTAGCTGGAATTATAGGTGCCCACACTGTGCCCGGCTAATTTTTTGTATTTTTAGTAGAGACAGAGTTTCACCATGTTGGCCAGGCTGGTCTCAAACTCCTCACCTTGTGATCCACCCCTCGGCCCCCCAAAGTGCTGGGATTACAAGCCTGAGCCACCGCGCCTGGCCCATATGCTCTTTTATTAAGACATTAAATAACAAGATCTAGCAATGGTTATAATAACTACTTAAATTTCAAAATAGTGGTGAGCATAAACATTATTTCAAGATTGTGCAACAGCAGTAATATAATATGAATAATCTATAATTTCTCTTGGTGACAAAGTCATGGGTACTACTGATATTACTGTGGTTTGTTGCCTAAAGGCTAGAGAAAATAAAGATGTAAATTTTTTCACATTCAAGTTAATGGATTCTGTGGCCTCCATGACTGTTCTAAAAGGGGTGGCAAAACCACAAGATGGGAAGAGCTGGGTGCCTGAATACCTGCCTGCAGCAGAGTCTACTCCCAAACTATGTCCCACTGACAAATACATTTTACCTAAGAAAAAACCAGGCCAGGGGCGGTGGCTCATGCCTGTAATCCCAGCACTTTGGGAGGCCGAGGCAGGTGGATCACCTCAGGTCAGGAGTTCTAGACAAGCCTGGCCAACATGGCAAAATCCCATCTTTACTAAAAATACAAAAATTAGCCAGGCGTGGTGTTGGGAGCCTGTAATCCCAGCTACTTGGAAGAATCGCTTGAAGCTGGGAGGCAGAGGTTTCAGGGAGCCAAGATCCCAACATGGCACTCCAGCCTGGGCAATAAGAGTGAGACTTCATCTCAAAAAAAAAAAAAAAAGAGGCCGGGCGCGGTGGCTCAAGCCTGTAATCCCAGCACTTTGGGAGGCCGAGGCGGGTGGATCACGAGGTCAAGAGATCGAGACCATCCTGGTCAACATGGTGAAGCCCCGTCTCTACTAAAAATACAAAAATTAGCTGGGCATGGCGGCGCGTGCCTGTAATCCCAGCTACTCAGGAGGCTGAGGCAGGAGAATTGCCTGAACCCGGGAGGCGGAGGTTGCGGTGAGCCGAGATCGCGCCATTGCACTCCAGCCTGGGTAACAAGAGCGAAACTCTGTCTCAAAAAAAAAAAAAGAAAGAAAGAAAAAAGAAACCAGATGGGGTTACACTATTGAGGTTTTGGGTTTATCTGTTAAGGCAGCTAGCATTACCTTAACTAATATGGCTCTTTGCCATTAAATTACACATGTGTGTGTTTATATATGCACACACATACATATATAATGGCTAACAATACAAAAGATAAATACATATTCATATTAATTAAAACTTCATTTTCTTACAAGTAACCAAAAGCTTAACTTAAAAAAGGAGATATTACTATAAAAGTACTCAGGTATCTCACTTGACCCATGGAGAAGTGAAATCATCAAGCTTTTTAAAGGTCTGGAGTCAGGGCAGCTCCAGGAACCTCAGCAGCAGTGTTTTGGGGTGCTTGCCTCTTGTGATGAACACTACCACTAAAGTGACTCAACTTCTAATTCTCGGTCTCTGTATGTCTCTGCTAAAATTGTTGAGCAAATGAACCTGATTAGCTTAGTCAGCTTGGATCAGATGTCTTCCTCCAGTCCAGTCAGCTGTGGCCAGGCATTTACTGTCCCCAGTAGTAACATGGGTGCCCATTTTCCCTTGAATGGGGGGATGGACAGTTCTAAGAAAATAATACCTCTACAAAAAACACCTAATGAGCTGCTGCAATGTGCCAGATATTCTTCTGTGTACCTTTACAGGCATGTCTCGGCTTATTACACTTTGCTTTATTACACTTTGTAGATATTTGCTTATTTTGCAAATTGAAGGTTTGTGGCAACCCTGCATCGAGCAAGTCTATTGGTGCCATTTTTCCAAGAGCATATGCTTAGTTCATATGTATGTGTCACATCCTGGTGATTCTCATAATATTTCAAGCTTTTTCATTATATCTGTTGTAGTGATCTGTGATTAGTTGATGTTACTATTTTAACTGTTTTGAAGTGCCTCGAACCACGCCCATATAAGACAACTCACTTAATAAATGTTGTGTGTGTTCTGACTGCTTCACTGACCAACCATTCCCATAACTCGCTGTCTCTCCTCGGGCCTCCTTATCCTTTAACGCCCAAGACTTGAAATTAGGCCAAGTATGGGTGCCGTGGCTCACGCCTGTAATCCCAGCACTTTGGGAGGATGCGGCAGGCAGATCACCTGACATCAGGAGTTCGAGACCAGCCTGGCCAACATGGTGAAACCCTGTTTCTACTAAAAATACAAAAATTAGCTGGGTGTGACGGTGTGCACCCATAATTCCAGCTGCTTGAGAGGCTGAGGCATGAGAATAGTTTCAACCTGGGAGACGAAGGCTGCAGTGAGCTAAGATGACACCACTGCGCTCCAGCCTGGGCGACAGAGCAAGAATCTGTCTCAAAAAATAAAATAAAGCCGGGCGCGGTGGCTCAAGCCTGTAATCCCAGCACTTTGGGAGGCCGAGGCGGGTGGATCACGAGGTCAAGAGATCGAGACCATCCTGGTCAACATGGTGAAACCCCGTCTCTACTAAAAAAATACAAAAAATTAGCTGGGCATGGTGGCACGTGCCTGTAATCCCAGCTACTAAGGAGGCTGAGCCAGGAGAATTGCCTGAACCCGGGAGGCGGAGGTTGCGGTGAGCCGAGATCGCGCCATTGCACTCCAGCCTGGGTAACAAAAGTGAAACTCCGTCTCAAAAAAAATAAAAATAAAAAAAATAAAATAAAATAAAGAAGGAAATTAGATCAAGTAATAACCCTACAATGGCCTCTAAGTGTTCAAGTGGAAGGAAGAACTATAGGTCTTTCACTTTAAATAAAAAACTAGAAATAATTAAACTTAGTGAGCAAGGCA